TTTAAACTGTTGGTAGCTGAGGCAGAAGGCAAGAGGAATGGACACAAATGAATGTTCCATGGCTTTGAAATAAACATATCTAGGTAGATCACTACTATGCTGTCTTCTATTCCCTGTCATTGAAGTTTGAAGATTATAATGCTAAAATATGTAAAATAATAGCTATTTTTAAGAATATTTATTTTATTTTTTTTAAAAGATTTTATTGTGTATACAGAGCTCATTCAAGGTGGCTGTGAGCCACCATGTGGTTGCTGGGAACTGAACTCAGGACTGCTGGAAGAACAGTCAGTGCTCTTAGCCGCTAAGACAATCTCTCCAGTCCCTCTTTTTAACTATGTGTAACTGTTTGTCTCTCTATGTGGGTGTTTACATGTTGAGTGCTGATTCTCTAGACCATACTATGGGCTTCAAGCAGCTGTTCTCTGCAATCATTAGAACTGACCACAGTGCCAATCTGCTTCCTAGCTGCCTTTTCTTTTTTGGTTCCCCCCGCCCCAGACAGGGTTTCTCTGTGTAGTTTTGGAGCCTATCCTGGCACTTGCTCTGGAGACTAGGCTGGCCTCGAACTCACAGAGATTTGCCTGCTTCTGCCTCCTGAGTGCTGGGATTAAAGGCATGTGCCACCAATGCCCAGCCTCTTTTTTGAGATTTTTGAGACAGGGTTTCTCTGTGTAGTCCTGGCTGCCCTGGAACTTGCTCTGTAGACCAGGCTGGCCTGGAACTCAAGAGTGCTGGGATTAAAGGCATGCATGACCACTGCCAGACAAAAGATGCTTTTGTTTTGTTTTGTTTTTTTTTGTATGTGTTTTTTTCTTTTAATTTATTATTATTACTCCAATTGTAACAGAAGACTAACCAGCTTGAAATCTATTTAACTATTACGTATAAATAAACTTATCTACCAACAAGTAGACTTCAAATATGAACAATAATTGTTGTATGGAAATTTAACTTACCCTTCAAGCTTCATGATTTCAAAAACCAACAATGATACAATTGACAGCATATAAAAGAGACAGAACCAAAATGGGAGAAGCTAACATGTCACTTAGTAGGAAGAGTTACAGTGACCACTTCGGTAAACCCAGGAGGAGGGTAGACATGCATTTTAAGTTTCTTTTTCTTTTCTTTTTTTTTAAGATTTATATATTGTGTACACAGTATTCTGCCTGCATGTATGTCTGCAGGCCAGAAGAGGGCACCAGATTTCACTATAGATGGTTGTGAGCCACCATGTGGTTGCTGGGAATTGAACTCAGGACCTTTGGAAGAGCAGGCAGTTCTCTTAACCACTGAGCCATCTCTCCAGCCCCCTCCCCCCCTCACTTTAAGTTTCTATGGACACGAAAACTATTTTTTTTTTTTTTTACATGAAAGGAGATTGAAGGTGGTGTCCTGAATAAAATTTTGGTATCATTTTTACTCCAGAGTCTCAATTTAACTGTAATAAAATTTTACTGGAAGATGGCAACATATTCCACTGTGCACTGTCTGCATCTGCTTTCATTCAAAGAAACTATATGGCCCACAACACCTAAGGTACCAACGATATGTCCCTTTACCAGCTCTTTTCCTGGTCCAGGGAAGTCATCTCTGGCCAGTGTTCACCCCTCTCCTACCTAGTGATAACTTACAGGATGTTTTATTTTTCCTCTTTAGCATATATTAAATGTAGAAACCAATGGGCTTCCTTGTGCCATTTTCACACTGGCTTACAATGCTCGTCATTTTCTTCATGTTCCCACTGCTCCTTGTCTTCTCTTCCCTCGTCCTTTGGGTCCTTCTTCTCTTCTAATTTCATATCATTAAAAAAAAAAGTCTACATATGAGAAAACACACAATACTTGTCCAAGCCTGGTTTATCGTTTTCTATGTTTTGTGGCATCCAAGGATGCTCCTACCCACGTACCATGTATGTGCATGGGGAATGTCCCCAAAGGTACAGCATATTGACACCTGGTTCCTGCTGCTATACAAAATAGCTGAAAATGATCAGGATGAGGCATGAATCCAAACAATTCCCAAGCTTACTGAGCAAAGCACTGTGTGTAAATGTTACCACTGAGGTCCCTATAAGAACATCAAACTAATATTTATATCTTGTTAGCATCTGTTGTGTCAAATGTTCATTAGATTAGAATATACCTTAAGAATAGAAGGGCTCATCTCCTAGGAAAGAAAGTGCATTTGCAGGGACTTGTAACTCTTAATGATAAACACTTTTTTTAAAATAAGGAAAGCAGAGCATTAATTACTCAGGTTTTTATTTATTCATTAGAGAAAACTGTATACTACAAAACAAAAGTAATTACCGTATATTCTACAGGGAGTAGTTCTTTAAAGGTAATCTATTTGATTCTCATATATTGTACAAATTCAGAGAAACACAATTTAATAAACTACATTAACTCAGTCAATCTCAGGTCTCAAAGTGGCTCTTCACACAATTTACTGAAAGCTATATGGGAAATTCTCTGTAAAAGCATTTATCCCTAGGCTTTCTGTGTCCATTGGGTAAGACTAACACTTCAAAATGATGTTACGTTTATCTTGTAGTGTGTTTGTCTACCAGTAGGTATGCTTGTTACTTCAGCTCCAGGGGATCTGTAATGGTTATTCTTGGTCATCAATTTGACCACATTTGGAATTAACTAAAATCCAAGTGGCTAGATACACCTGTGAGGAATTTTGTTTGTTTTGTTTTGTTTTTTGAGACAGGGTTTCTCTCTGCAACAGCTCTGGCTGTCCTGGAACTCACTCTGTAGACCAGACTGGCCTCGAACTCACTGAGATCTGCCTGCCTCTGTCTCCCGAGTGTTGGGATTAAAGGTGTGTGCCAACACCATCGGCTGAGGAAATTTTCTTTAATTTGAAGTGGGAAAACCCACTTTTAAACCAGATCTTCAGAGGTTGGAAGATCCACCTTTTATCTGGGCTATACCTTCTGCTGGCAGCCTATATAATGGACATAGACCAAGGAAACTTCCTCTCTTTGCTTGCTTGCTCTTGCTGGCTAGTTTGGTCCTTCACTGGCAGTAGAGCCTACTTCTTTAGGATTCTGGTGTAATCTGAAGGCTAGCTGAGACATCCAGCCTTATGGACTGAACAATTACTGGATTCTTGGACCTTCCATTGGTAAACAGCAGTTGTTGGGCTAGCTGGACTACAGTTTGTAAATCATTCTAACAAATCCTCTACGCTATTCTCTTTCTCTGTTCTGTGTCTCTAGAGCAGTGCTTGTTAACCAGTGTGTCATGTCCCCTTTTTGGGGGTCGAACAACCCTTTCATAGGGGTCACCCAAGACAAGAAAACACATATTTACATTACAATTCACAACAGTATCAAAATTACCATTATGAAGAAACAACAAAAATATTTTTATGATTGGGGGTCACCAAAACATGAGAACTGTACATTAAAGGGTTGTAGCATTAGGAAGATTTAGAACCAGTAATCTAGAGACCCTGACCAACACAGATTTTGGTACCAAGAGTGAGGTAACCTAATACAGTATCTGACACCCTCTTTTGACCTCCATGAGAAACTGGACTCATGTGAACCCTAACTCCCACCCCCACACACGCTCATGCTCCTAATTAAAAATAAATCTTAACATGTATCTCGGGAGTTTCCTACATTCTATATTTAAAAATGAAAATAGGGGGCTGGAGAGATGGCTCAGAGGTTAAAAGCAATGACTGCTCTTCCAGAGATCCTGAGTTCAATTCCTAGCAACCACCAGGTGGCTCACAACCATCTATAATGAGATCTGGTGCCCTCTTCTGGCCTGCAGGCATACATGCAGACAGAATATTATATATGTAATAAAATCTTTAAAAAAAAATAAAAATGAAAATAATTCGAAGGGTCAAGATGCTTGTCAAAGTTGAAGACCTGCGTTCAATCCTGGAGATCTATAATTTATGCTGTTTCCTTAAAAACTTCCAAGTTTTCTTAGTTTTGAATCAAGATCTTGCTATGTTGTAGAGTCACATCTCAAACTCATGGTCTCAAGCACATAATACCATGCCTGGCTCTTGTTCTTGTAACATATTTAATAATAGTTCATTTTAAACTCAATTGTTATTGTATATGATAGACACTATGTTTAATAACCATTAGCTACATATGGTATTGTAATGTTGTCATCTTTTAGGAAGTTAGTCAAAATGTCCTTTGTGAATGTTTCTACTAAGAATGCAAAATACTCGTTTCAGCTGCCATTAGTGCCTTACAGTTCAACCTATTTAAAAAGACCTGTGTGAGCTGGCAGTGGTGGCGCACACCGTAGTCCCAGCACTCGGGAGACAGAGGCAGGTGGATCTCTGTGAGTTTGAGGCCAGCCTGGTCTACAGAGCAAGTTCCAGGACAGCCTCCAAAGCTACAAAGACACCCTGTCTCAAAACAAAACAAAACAAAACAAAACAAGACCTGTTTGAAGCCTGGTAGTGGTGGCACATGCCTTTAATCCAAGCACTTAGGAGGCAGAGACAATCTGATATCTAGGAGTTCAAGGCCAGCATGGTTTCCAGATTGAATCCCAGAACAACCAAGGCTACACAGAGAAATCTTGTCTCTGGAAAACAAGAACAAAAAAATCAAAACCAAACCAAACCAAACCAAAACCCAAAACTTTAAATCAGTTTTAAGTTTTATTGTGCATGTCATTGCAAAGTTATGTGTTTAGGTGCTGAGAAGAAAATAGGAAAACTAGGACAGGAGAGATGGCTTACTGGTTAAGAACACTGGCTGCTCTTTCATAGGACCTGGGTTCAATTCCCAGCACCCACATGGTAGCTCACAACTGTCTGTAACTCTAGTTTCAGGGGACCCAACACCCATAGCAAAACACCAATGCACATAAAAATAATAATAAAAAATAAAATATATTAAAAAATAAAATAGGAATAAGAAAGGGTATGAAGAGCAAGGTGTAAGTATGCATGACTGATCCTGACAGCACAGATCCATTCCCAAGAGAATGCTGGGCACCAAAGACACTCCACATGGACTTTATTTTCTTCGTGACAAACCTGCCTATTGGGCAAAGAACTGCCCTGGCCTCCACTGCTGACAGAAAGCACGCTGTCCCATCAGGACAAGCAAAATACAAGGAAAAGTGACTGCTGAACCTTGCCAAGACAGGGTAGGACAGTCTTTTGAATTTTCCTGCTTCTGAAAATGGTCTCTCAGATATTCTAAGCATATAGCCAATACTGGTTGCCCCAACGTTGCAGAAAGACTTTGGGTGACTGTCCAGGCAGCTAGCTGTATCTGTCTTTTCTTGCATCTTTTGGAAGTCCTTTGCTTGTACTTCCTGCTTATCCAGGTAATATTATTTTCCTTCTAAGGTCTTTGATGGGGTTGAAGACTAGATAGTCGCAATTACTATCCTCTCGATCAGCTGTGGCATGTTAGGTACAAGACTTAGACAACACGACAGCTATTGGAGTAATCTCTGTAATCTGCCAATTAACCCATGGTCTCGACATTTAGTATGTTTTTCTTGCTTGATGTTGTCCTTGTTGGTTGCAGTTCCATTTTTATTTATGATATTAGCCTTTCCCTTTCCTGGACAATACTTGATAATTGTTCTTTTATTTTCGAGACTGGGTTTCTCTAGAGCTTTGGAACCTGTCCTGGAACTCACTCTGTAGACCAGGCTGGCCTCGAACTCAGAGACCAGTTTTTCAAGATGAGGTTTTACAACAGAAAAGACAGGAGCTAGCTCTTCGAAAAAACAAAACAAAACAAAAAAACTGTAAATAATACTATAAATAGATTCTAATAGTGCTTAGCTTCAGGGAATAAGAAATAACAGATGGAATGACAATTTTTAAATAACTAGGTAATTCTTCCTATTTGAATTCTCAACACTAGAAGTCTAAAAATTTGTGGATGAGTACAAAAGAAGGCAATTAAGAATGGGTCATTTTAAAGAACAAAGCAAAGCATCAAGTGAGAATTCTGAAGTTACAGTCTCAGTACCAGGGCTGTGCAGAATATCCATCTTTTTCTAACTGTCCAATAAAAAAACACCATCAAGGAAAGTGTTAGATTTATGGGCTAAAAGTGTCAGCTATCCCATTTGTCTTATTCTAGCAATGGTCCTCCTTGTCTCCCAAATGATTCTTCTGGCCCATCATATACACCAAAATATCCCTTTATTTGTTTGTCTGTTTTCTGCCAGAATTTGGTTTGATGATGATCATGATGATTTTCCAAGACAGAGTTTTTCTGTGTAAGTCTTGGCTGTCCTGGAACTTGCTTTGTAGACCAGAATGGTCTTGAAGTCACTGAGCTTTGCCTGCCTCTGCCTCCCAAGTGCTGGGATTAAAGACTTGTGCCACCACCACCTGGCCTATTTTTTTTTTTTTTCTGCCTAAATAAACATCACAGCTAGGTTTTAAGAGTGAACTATGATTACCACCAGAAAGCTGTAGTTTGTAAAAAGTATAATTTAAACTGCTAGGATTTCAGTTTATGCTTTCCTTTCTTCACTCAAAAGGATCCTGAAAATTTAAAAAAACAAATTATTACTTAAATTTCAACGGGCTGGTATGAAATGGGTATGTATGTGTGACTAGTCTTTTAAACACACTAAGAAAATTGTGTTTATTGGCTTGTACTATACAGGCCATGATTCTCATAATAGCCATCTGTTTTCTAATGTGAAAGAAACCATATGTAAACCTGTATTTTGAGGTTGGAGGGATGGTTCAGCGGTTATTTCTGGGTGACAACACTCCAACAGGGGCTAAATATGATAGTGAATGTGATCCTTTTCTTGGGGAGGTATTTTTGGTATCTGTAAGCATATCATTACTTTTTGGGTTATGGCATTAAATGTCCTCAGAAGAAGCTGTTGGAGAGTTTCACTACAAAATAGAAGAGGAACCAGCAATAATGGTAACTCCAGCTATCACTGAAGCAGGGCCAGGTATGGTCTTAACCGGACCAGATTGATATAAGCTGTAAATCTGGCATATAGCTAAATGCTGACTAAGGCTATCTACCTACTAGAGGGAATTTCTTGTCAACTGCCAAAAACGATGTCATGACTTGACCTCCAGATTCTCTTGACTCTTAACTCCACACCATAATATAAACTTTAGGGAATCTGGACTAGCTCATCTTTACAAAGGTGGTCACAGGCAGTGTTGTTGATGCCCACAATGATGAGCAGTTCTGGAGAACAAGACAGTAAAGAATCCTCAATGTCTTAGTGAAAACAGAAGATGAGTTAGGTAAGAATACAGTGTTGGTTATTGTAATGGCCCTACTTGTCCACTGTCTCCATGGGTCTTAGAGCAGAGGTTGGAAAACAACGGCCCAAAGGCCAAATCTAGTCCATCATTTGTTTTTGTAAATAACATTTTATGGATAAAACTATGCCTACTTATTTATATACAGTTTATGGCTATTTATCTTCTAAAACAACATAATTGAGAATATGCAAAGATGACAATATTTTCTCTGGTCGTTTTACATAAGTCCACCAACCCCCTGGTCTATAGAATGCTGGAATACGCAGGACAGATTAATGCCCCAGCTCCTCCTACATATCAGGCAGGATAGATCTGGCTGTTCCTTTTAAACTCCAGAGCAGAAAACCCTCTTCTAATAAGTGAACAAGTTATGGTAGTACAGCCCAGCAGCTCAGGTCACCCGGTGTTTCTGGAGCAACTGATGCTTCTTTTATATGGCTTCAGCAATGTCCCAATATGATCACAGTGCACATCTGGGATTACGGAGCAAATAAAGCAACTTTCGATGACTCATAATTTATTCCTCCATTTGGTATTAAATGTACTGGAAAACAGACTAAAAGTGCTAATTGTTTCTAGATAGTTTGGAATCTATCTTTGTTTCTTTGTGACTACATTTTTTAAAATTGTCTAGAATGACAATGTATTATAATTACCAAAGAAAGAAAACACATCTAGCCTAAGAGGCTGGTTTTCACTGAAGATAATCATCTAATAAAAGCAAGAACATTAGAATGAGTACATGGACTTGAAACAAAGAATGAACTTTGTTTCTTCTGTAGTGGTTCCTTTTAAGGCACTCCAGAGAAGTTATAGGCGACATCTGAAATCTAATTCTCAATTTTCTTACCCTACAAAACAACAATAACCACGCAATCAATCACTACTTACCACATGAGATATGCTAGTGTCTATACGTGCTCAGTCCCTTCAAAATAAAAATTGGAAATAGTTAGTTACCTTTGGGTTAAAATATCTACAGGACTGTGGTTGGGAGCCTCCAAACAGAGCTATGCGGTAATCGTGTTTCTTTCTTCTAGGCCTTGTGCCACCTGCAAGTTCTTCTCGATCTTCAGGAGACAGTAGATGGTACCTCATTCCACCTGCACAAAATACATGGTAACTCTTCAAGACTTTCAGGTACTAAGCCAATCCTTTGAAAAGTAAAGTAGGGACTGGAAAGATGGTTCAGAGGTAACAGCATTGACTGTTCTTTCAGAGGTCCTGAGTTTAATTCCCAGCAATTACACGGTAGCTCACAACCACCTATAATAAGACCAGATGCCGTCTTCTGGTGTGCAGGCAAACATGCAGACAGAACACTGTATAAATAATAAATCTTAAAAAAAAAGTGAAGTAGTCCCTTTTTTACCCTCTATAACTTAAAATTATTATTATTATTATTATTATTATTATTATTATTATTAGTTCCCTTCTAGTGTTCTAGGAAGAAAGAGGAAAGAAGCAGAATAAATGTCTAAGAATCCTCATCAGTCAATATGGCTAAGACTATGTCACCCACTCACTACATACCAGTGAATGAGCTGGTTACTCAAGAGTAGCTGTCGAAATAATAATTACTGAAATTTAGATCTCTTAAACCCAGTGATCTCAATCTTTTTTTCATGAAATAAGATCTCACATGTAACACAGGAAGCTGTCCTTTAACTAGTAACCCTCTTGCATCAGTTACTTAATGTTGAGATAACAAATGTGCGCCATTACCATCAGCTCTCTGTTTTAACTGTGTATTAGAATCACACAAGAAATTTCTATTTATACCAGTTCCTACTGCAGACCAATTAAAATCTCTAGTGCAGGCACCCAGTACTGGTGTGTTCAAGGGCCCCATCTTGTTATGTAAATGTGGTTCAAATAACAGCAGCTTCAGAAGCCGGAACTTTGCTAGAAATGCTGAAACTCACTATGAAAAAGCTACCAACCAAAGCATCACCTGTGTACTTACCAATTCCAAGTTAACTCAGATGTACATAAAACTTTGAGAAGGACTATCTTAGATCAAATGCAATGAGGATTCCAAACTATTACAGATCTTTCTAAATTTGGTTTGATTCACATAATCAAAAACTGTTTAAGATATTATTTTAGGGGCTGGAGAGATGGCTCAGAAGTTAAGAGCACTGGCTGCTCTTCTAGAGGTCATGAGTTCAATTCCTAGCAACCACATGATGGCTCACAACCATCTATAATGAAATCTGGTGCCCTCTTCCCTCTTCTGAAATGCAGGCAAATGTGCAAGTAGAACATTGTATACACAATAAATAAATAAAATCTTAAAAAAAAAAGAGAACACTGACTGTTCTTCTAGAGGACCTGAGTTCAATTCTCAGCACCCACATGGAAGCTCACAACTGTCCGTAATACCCTCACACAGGCAAAACACCAATGCACATAAAAAAATAAATTAAAAAAGATATTATTTTAAATTAGCATGGGAAAAATGGATTGTCTATTAATGTTATACAATACAGGGCAAAAAACTGTATTTCCTACCTCATATTTTCTTCTCAACAAAAATTGGAATTTGAAAAAAAAAAAATCTCACAAATGTTGGAAGGGAAAAGTCGCAAACTAGGAAAATATTATATAAAATTAAATTACAAAGCTATCCTATTAGTAAGATTAAGTCCAGCAATTTCACCAAAAAGTAGATAAAGTACCTAGATACAGTTCACAAAAAATAAACACACAATTTTTTTTTTTTTTTTTTGCTTTATCAAGACAGAAGGTTTCTCTGTGGCTTTGGAGCCTATCCTGGAACTAGCTCTTGTAGACCAGGCTGGCTTCAAACTCACAGAGATCCACCTACCTCTGCCTCCCAAGTGCTGGGACTAAAGGCCTGTACCACTACCTCCCAACCAAACACAATTCTTAAACATATAAAACATGCTTGACTATTTACCACACTTTTTCATTCAGATTTGCTGATATCAAACAATTGAGCACAGGGCTATGACAGCCCAAACTAAGTGCCCGCCCACTCCACACACAGTTCCATTTGTTAGTCTCCTAAGGACTTGCTCTTTATTGACTCATGGGCAAAACTACAAACTCAAGAACACTCAAAAGATAATATAGAGAACCTAGTGAAATAAACATGAGATTTATCAAATCTCCAAGTATTTATCAATTATCAGGACCCCTTTAGAAGAAAGGGGAGTCAAGAATGACAGGCCACACCTGCAACCTCAGCACTCAGGAGAGGGAAGGCTGGAGATTTTGAGTTTCAAGCCAACCTGGGCTTCACAGTGAGAGAAACTTTGTCTCAAAACAAACAAAAACAAAAGAGAGGAAAGAAAACCTTGTACTCAGAAGAGAACAGATGGAAAAGACACTCCAGGGGTGGTAAAGTCAAGTCCCAGGACAAGAAATGTACATCAGGTTCAATTGACAGGGCCAGCAGCCATGGAATAGGCAGAAGGAAAGCACTGGACTCGGCATTTTAAAGAAAGAGAAGCAACGGGGTAACTTCACAATTTTATGAAGCAGCATTTTATGAAAGTGTTTAGACTTCTGGGTTGAGAAAATAAAAGATAAAAATCAGCATATGATTAAACTCCAGGCAAATAAGGAAAATCTATTTACAAAAAAGAGATGTCAAGATGGGACACTACTTGGTTAAGTAAAATAAAAAGGGAACACTGAGTCTGATCCACTGAACAGGTTTTAGTCCATTGTGGCCATGTGATACAAACATAAATAAATGGGTATGAAGGCAACTTACTTATCACCATTTTAAGGCATTCCGGATTGTCTTGAATAAGTGGTTCAGCTTGTACTGTTTTACTTAGGAAATTCTTCGATATAAGAGGAAATCTGACTTTAGCAAGGATATCAACCATAAATGGCTGGCGATTAGGCTCATCGTATTTTAACCACCTCACTGCAGCGTCATAAACCTAAAGTGGAAAAACAGATCAGTAAAGTTCTGAGATGGCAGCAACATTCCAAACATCTGTTTTCACTCTCACACTGAACAGGGGACAATTACTCATCCTCGGTATTGTCCAAATACTTGTCTGCATTCCTTAATACCTCAGACCCTTTACACACCGCATTAGTGAGCCTTATAGGCAGTATGTTTGCTATAACTAACTACTAATACACACAGTGATAAGATTAGGGGGCTGGAGAGATGGTTCAGCTCTTAAGAGCACATACTGCTCTTCTCAATGGCCTGAGTTTGGTTCTTGCACCCATGTCACACTAGTCACAATGGTCTAACTCCAGCCCCAGGGAGCCAATGCCTCTGGCTTCTAAGGGCACTTGTACATAAGTGCACATATCCACACACATACACATGTAATTAAAAATAATAAAAACAGAGTTCTGTAAAAAGACGTGTGTGTGTGTGTGTGTGTGTGTGTGTGTGTGTGTGTTCTTAAAACAAAAACCACAGCTTCCTTTTCAGAAGCAGTCATGATACTGAAAGAAGTCTATTGGCCAGTGATAGCCCCAACATATGCCCAGGACCAGCAACACAGGTTTCCCAAGAGGTCTTCCATTCCAGGAGATATAAGAATCATTTATTTTAACCTTGTATTTCTACACTGTGAACCAACAGACTTACCTGCTTCTAGAAGATTTAAGATATGCAATTCATTATTTAATAAAATAAAAGGTATTTGTAAGAAATTGCTTTCAAAAACTGATACTGTAGCATTCATTTAACTACACTGAATAAGTCCAAGTTCACTAATATAAGCTAATTTATAAAGCACTAAATAGCATCAACAACTTATTCTATATATATACTCATACTCATCTACTACACATATGTTTGAGCTAGTTAATCAATTAAGGAACAGGAACTTTAAAGAGAGGCTTTTTATTTTACAACATATTTGGATTGCCTTTTGGTCTTTTGGCTAAGATCAAGTACTGAACAGATTGAGATTTAGTATTCTCTGTACCCAGTCACTGCAGTAGGGAGCATCTATTATAATCATGAGTTAATATTTCTGTTAATACCATACTATTTTAATATTTTTTGGTGTTTACCTAGTATTATTTTCCTTCCCATCACCCCATAAAGGAGACCACATTGTATTAACTCAATAAGTCACCTAAGGATGTTTTTTTAAGACTGTGTGGGAAGCTTCTCAGACTTTCCTTTCTTACAACCTTAATAGTTCTGAACTCTGGTCAGGTAAACTGTCCTCAATTTCAGTTTGTTTGCCCTCTTGTGTTATGTTTTTTGGGGAGGGTGACCACAGTGATTGCCTTAGGTTTCTATTGCTGTGATAAAACACCATGACCACCAAAAGCTTATTGGCTTGTTCCTCCTGGCTTGCTTAGTTTGCTTATACATACCAGGACCATCTGCCTAGAGGTTGCACCCCCCAGGGAGCTGGACCTTCCTGTACCAATCATTAATCAAGAAAATGTCCCATAGACCTGCCTACAGGCCAGTCTGATAAAGACAATTATTTTCCCAAGTAAGATTCCCCTTTCCAGATGTGTCTAGATTTGTGTCAAGTTGACAAAACCCAGCCAAACCAGTGATGATTTACTGTTTTATTACATCAAGTAGGCATGTACTCAACAGACATCACTGACAACCAACAGCAGGCAGGATCCGTCAGGTTTTCCACTCCTCTTCTTTGCCTGCATACAGGTCAGTTAATTTTGATGACAGAACTGATGTGGGGTTTCCCCCCGTTTATTTATTGATTTGTAGTTTATGTGCACTGGTATTTTGCCTGCATGTATGTCTGTGTGAGGGTGTCAGATCCTCAGGAACAGGAGTTGCCGACAGTTGTGAGCTACCATGCAGGTGCTGGGAATTGAACCCAGGTCCTCTGGAAGAGCAGCCAGTGCTTTTAACCACTGAGCCATCTCTCCAGTCCTGAGAACTGATGTTTTCATCTTCATTTTGTTTCTCTTGAGATAGGGTCACAGTACATACTAACTGATTTCAACATCTTGGGCTCAAGTAATTCTTCTACTTTAGCCTCTGAGGTAACTAACTGAACTTTGTGCTGTGCCTGACATGTAGCACTGTTTTTTGTTTTTTCTTTTCTTTTTATCTAGTCAAATCCTTCAACTTAAAAATTCTGTTATAAACAACACAGAGCAAAAGTAACATGGCTTAGTGCAATCTTTTTTATTTTTTTAAAGAAAAATAGCAACTCAACATATGATATCAGTATACTCATTTTGTATTGCAGTGATAACAAATTACTATAAACTCTATAAGGACCGAGTGTGTCTATTATGGTCTATTATGGTCACACAACCTGCTCCTAAATACCTTTGTCGAATTTACACACCTAACACTTAAACTGATGATTCTAGAAAACAGAATGAAAACCAAGTCATGCTGGGCTAAAATCAAGGTCCCACAAGGACTTCCCGGAGGCCTCATAGGTCAAATTATTTCCTGACCATTTCCAGTCTCTTATCACCTATGTGTAGTGTGGGTCTCCTCCACTTCCAAAGCAGCAATGATTGGTCAACTCTTTTGCACACTGCACCCTCTTCAACAATTAAGAACCCTTATGATTATAAAATTATAATTATAATCTACCCATCCCCTCATGCTCATCTTGGTCACATGCTTTAACCTCCCTACTACATGTAAGGTAACATAAGTTCAGGAAATCTTTTGGGGGAGGCACTGCTGTGCCTAACATGGTACCCAATGTTTTATCTCTACCATGCAGTTTGTAGTTCAAATAGTCATGACTCTTCCAATGAAAAAGGCTTTGTAATAATGTATTATTATAAGAATACATTCTCTCCTAATAGGAGAATTTTGTTGTCATATATTAAAACATCATGTAGAAAAAATTGGTAAAGAATTTTTTTTATCAATGAATATCCAGTAAGACAATATAGTTACCTGGTCCTCTGCTCTCACAGTCAGAGTGTCCTGGCTAAGAAGCTGGGTTACTTGTTTGACATCAAGTTGTAGAAATTCATCAGTTTTGTAAACTTTGGTAAAATGCTGGTGAATAAAGTCATCTGCTGTTGCTTTCAGTTCAGGACAGTCCAGACACTCTGCAAGCACACTTATACCTACACACACAGAAAAAAACCCAAAAAACCAGAAGACACTGCTTTTAGAAACACTACATGTTTCCCCCAGAACTTGAATAGATAAGGCAGAAAAATCTCAAATTTATGTCTAATTTGGACTATAGAATAATAGCCTGATTAAAAAAGCACTAAGTAAAACCAAAGTTATATGTACATTTGTACATGCACATACACTTTTTCTTTGTTCAAAGTTGGCATTATGGGAATCCTATTTCTGGAAGTTTCTACCCTTTTCTTACTGATCTCAAATTTAAATAATAAAATTAATCTCCACGTCAGTGTGCACACTAGCACTAACTCACAAAGATATCACAGCTGGGACCTTTCCAGCTATCTGAGGTTAGTGGCTTCAGGCTCTCTGCTTCTGAAGACAGCTTGGTCTTGCCTTTTGCTTTCCCAGCTACAGATCCAATCCTGATGCTGTTCTTTGAGCTTTTCTTTTTAACCAAACTTTGAAAGGTTTTCTTACCTCTTTGAGCAGGATGCTTAAATCAAGAAAGACTGAAAATAAATTTCTTTCCAAAAAAATGCTTCAGTTATATTCCAAAGATTCTGATTTATTGTGTTATTATCATGGATTTTTTTTTTGTTGTTGTTTTGGTTTTTTGAGACAGGGTTTCTCTGTGTAGCTTTGGAGCCTATCCTGGCACTCGCTCGGGAGACCAGGCTGGCCTCAAACTCACAGAGCTCCGCCTGCCTCTGCCTCCCGAGTGCTGTGACTAAAGGCATGTGCCACCAATGGCCAACATTATGTTTTTTTTTAATAGCCTGTAATTAGGTCTTTAATACTTTACGATTTTCTTTTAAATTATTCAGTTAAATTTCCAAGTGTTAAAAATGGTGCTGGAGGATACCCTTCTGAAGCTGGTCTCTTGCCTTCCTGCACTGCTGTTGGGGGGTCAGGCCCTGTGCTTCTTTCCTTTTAGGGGCTCTATGTTTTCTGTTGCTGGTGATCAGTATTTGTAAATACTCCAAGGGAATAAACTTGCACTCATTCTCTGATCACAGTATAAAACATTCTGTGAAAGCTATCTAAACAAGCTGGTTATTCAAATCCTACTTTTTCTAATCCTGATTTTTGCAGTATGAGCAATTTTATGAGTTATATATCACAGCCTCTCAAATTCCCTTTCTGTTTAAAACAACAGAAGTCAGGGGCTGGAGAGATGGCTCAGCAGTTAATAGCACTGGCTGCTCTTCCAGATGTCCCGAGTTCAATTCCCAGCAACTACAAGGTGGCTCACAGCCAAGATCTGGTGCCCTCTTCTGGCCTGCAGACATACTTTCAGGCAGAACACTATATACATAATAAACCTTAAAAAACAAAACAAAACAAAAACCCCAAAGTCATCTTTTTTTTCTGGGCATAGTAGCCCATGCCTTTAATCCCAGCCTTTAGGAGGCAGAAGCGGTGAATTTCTGTAAGTTCAAGACAAGCTCTGGTATTAAGTTTACAGGCCAGTCAAGACTACAGATCCTGTCTCAAAAACAAAACAGCTCACTTTGCCATCACTAAAAAAACTAGCTAGGATATTCTTATTGATGGTGCTCTCACGATCCAATAATCTCTCAATGGTTGGAGACTACATCTTTAAACATAGAAGTCATTTTGTGGGACCCTTCATAATAGGATAGAAATAGTAGTTTGTTTTGGTAACCTATCTCTTATCTCTAAACTTTTATGATAATTTTTTGATTGTAAGTACATGTAACAAAATCTACCACCAGTCACGTTTAGTACACTCATGTCATCCTGGCATTATCTAGCTCCAGAACATTTTCATCACCTCAAATCTAAGATCTTGACATTTAAAGAGTAAAAAAAAAAAAAAAAGAAAGAAAGAAAAAGAAAGAATCACTACAATATGTCTAAGGAATGTCTTAGTTCATGAGTCAGACTTTGTACTCAGTCTGAAATGGTCTTTAAGGTCCAAATGACTTTTCCTTTGCAGTTTGTTGACATTTTTTGCTTCTTTTCATTGCTCCCAGAGTCCTGCTTCAAATTAGTGCCGTGTTTCTTCCTTTAATGGTGACCTTTCAGTAATGGCTTCCTTTTACTTGTAGTATTATATCATGAGATAGTCCCCCCTTGATCTTTAGTTTGAATTTTAGGGGGCATCTACTTTACTGTTCAATTTGATTAAATGTCAAGACTGGAAAACCATAGGGTTTTTGCCCCTTCAAACATCTTTTCTGTTTTATTACTACACTACTACTACTATTATTATTATTACTTTGGTTTTTCAAGACAGGGTTTCTCTTTATAGCCTTTACTATCCTGGAACTCACTCTGGAGACCAGGCTGGCCTCCAACTCAGAGATCCACCTGCCTCTGCCTCCTGAGAGCTGGGATTAAAGGTGTACATGCCACCACCACCCACCTTGTCTTTTCTATTTATAATTTTCTTTTTATTCCTTACATTAAATCCCCCCCAGCTGTTCATTTTGGCTGTTTAGTGTGATTTTTCTGTTTCTAACACTACTAGGTTGCCTTGAATTTTGTATGATGTGCATGATCTCTTATTTTGAGATCAGTCTCACTATGTAGCCCTGAGTGGCCTGCACTACCTACAGTCTCACTATGTAGCCCTGAGTGGCCTGCACTACCTATAGAAACAAAACTGGTCTTGAACCTGCCTCTGCCTCTCAGTACTGGATTATAGATGTGCATCACCATGTTTGACTGAATTTTGCCCAATTCAATCAGTTGCCATTGGTTGGTTCCTATAGCGCTTGTGGAAGTTAGATTGGCAAGATATTTTGAGCAGCAGAGAAGCAAAAGGAAATCTTGGCAGGAATTCTCTAGCTGGCTGGCAGTGACAACTATGCTCAGATACACACAGAAAGCAGGCAGAAGCAGGTCCTCTCAACCTACCTTTACCAAGTAACCGAGGGACTGTAAATGGCTCAGAGCCACAGTCCCTTTTTTTGAGACAAGATCTCATTCTGTAGCCCAGGCTGGCCTTGAAGTAGGAGCAATCTTCCCACTTCAGCCATCACGCCTAGTTGAAGTCACTGTCTTTGTCCCAGGCTTAGGCTCAGAATCAGGCTCCTTTCTCTTTCAGCTTTGTTACTCCTACCCCCACCCCAAGAGAAGTAAAAGGCTAGATAAGTAGAACTGTAAACTACAGTACAGAAACGGAATCTCAGTCCAGAGGGTCCCAGATACATAGATGGATAACAAGCTGTATTTATTTCCTAATATAGGGTCTTACCATGTGGACCTTTGGCTAACAAAGAAATCCCATCATTATGTTTATTCCACAGCTATTGGTCCTCCTACTCCACCAACTGCAGGTCCTTTGCTGGAAACCAGAGCAGCCTCATCTTTATTTCTATTGCCTGATTCTTATTCTTTTTTTTTGCAATTATCCTGTTTCCTTTCTGACAGCCTTCCAAGTTTTTTCCTCCCTAGGCTCACAGTATATGTGCCAGAAGGAGTACAAAGTGCCCTGAGGGAAAACAGTACAGGAAATATTGGGACAGAAGAGGTCCAAGCATCTCCAGAAACCCTCAGCGCCAGCCTTCACTTTCTGTCATCAGCATCCCCATCTTTCCCTTGAGTCAGAAATCTTAGTGTTGACTAGGTTTCAAGGTCCTGTTTCCTTGATCCTATTTTTTTTTCCATGCTGTCCTGGGCCTCAGCCTTCTCTTTCCCTAAAGCCTATGACTTACATATGGGTAGGAAAATGTAATTGCAGAGAGCTGAGTACTTGTCTGCTAGCAGTAAGGATCATCTCACAGTAAGATGCGTACTATACTGAGAAATATCTGAATTACTTTCTCCGCTTCTTTTGAGGACAAATGCTTACTTGAGCAATAGCTTCAAATGAAGCTCTATAGCAGTATCTTCACTTATGATTTGTTTCCTAGTGCAAAACCTAATTGACAATGGAGAGACAGCTTAATGCACTAAACAAGCATCAGATTAGTAAACTTCATTTCCAGTTCACTCATGGAGTGACCACATGACTTGACGGACGTTTTAAACACCACCTCAGTTTTCTTAGCACATCATGAGTCCTAGAAGACAAACGTTCATGTGTTTTTCATGTAAAACTACTATGAACAACCCTGAATGGTGGCCCACGAGTTTAATCCCAGCACTCAGGAGGCAGAGAAATCCCAGCACTCAGGAGGCAGAGACACGGAGATCTCTGTGAGTCTGAGGCCAGTCTGGTCTACAAAGCTACACAGAGAAACACTGTCTCAAAAAAACATAAAATAGAATATAAAGTTAAAACTACTATGAACAAATTGATGGAGTCCTTGCTGCTTGTCTTTGGTGAATGAAAGCCATTATAAAAGGCACATTACTGGTGCTCGTGGTGGTAGCACATACCTTTAGTTTCAAGACCGGGGAGGCAGAGGCAGGTGGATCTCTGAGTTCGAGGCTGGCCTGGTCTACACAGTGAGTTCCAGGACAGCCAGAGCTGTTACAGAATGAAATCCTGTCTTGAAAAAACAAAATAAAAAAGAAACCAAAAGTCATATTACATTTTAGAAAGTAGTGACATAGTATTTATTGAGCTTATTGCTACTTAGGCTATTATGTACTTCTTTATTAAGTTTCTTTTAAATTTTATTACTAAAAATGTTTCAAAAGACAGTATCTTTAAGGTTAAATGAAGATTCTTACCATTATGGCTTTTTCTTTATTTAAATACACAATGAGGATTTTTTTTTTGGTGAAAAAAGAGCCAGGAGCCTGGTATTTCTTACCAAGACAATTTGATGCGTCCACCTGTTCCTTCAAAAAATCAACACACATTTTCTTCACAGGTTCAATCTGGTACTGATTTGCTGCATCTAACAATGACTGGACATTGTTGCTATTCACAGAAATTCTGTAAGTTAAAGGGAATATTAATTTCACACAGTGTTTATTACTTAAATAATATTACTACAGAATATACTCTCCTACAACATAGGGTCCTCCCAACTCCCCCATTACAGTTTTTTGTTCTAAGGAATCAGGAACAAACCAATTTATTACAACAATGCTTTTCTGTGGCAGACCCCAATTTTACTCCCCAAACAGAATGGCTCTTCTTAACTCACCTAGCAGTATAAGCAAATTCCACCAGTTGCTCAATAATATCAGGCTCAGCATCTTTGAGTTCTACTTCAAAGGACTTAGATTCAAGCATGTTGGCTGAAAGAAGAGAAGAAACATAAATAACCACCAGCAGGACCACAGGGTTAAGTAAGAAACTGACACATTCATTCCAGGCTGCATTAAACACAGAAGACACTAGGACAGATACCCCTGGAAGGAAATAAATGCAAATTAACTCTCCATGTTAGCGGTACCCCTTGAATTAATCAAAGAGAAAGACATAAAATTAGATTTTTTTTTTCTTCCAAGCTCTAAAATAATTCAGTGTCACTCTTCTTCAAATCCTCAGAGGTAGGTAGGACACCAAAGACAAAACTTGAGGGAGATATGTTATTTAACTTGACTAAGATCACAGAACAAGAGAGAGATGCCATGATGTATGCCTGTAATCTCAGCACTTGGGAGGCAGAGGTAAGAGGATCACTCAAACTTCCAGACCTGCCCTGGCTAGATGGCAAGCTCCTGACTTAAGAGGCAGTAAAACAAACCTCATAAAACAATACTAAGAGCCAGGCAGTGTTGGCGCACACCTTTAATCCCAGCACTTGGGAGGCAGAGGCAGGTGGATCTCTGTGAGTTCGAGGCCAGCCTGGTCTACACATAATGCATTCCAGGACAACCTCTAAAGCAATATAGAGAAAACCTGTCTGGAAAAAAACAAAACAACAAAAACAAAAACAAAAACAAAACAAAACAAAAAAACAATACTAAGTAGTATAATCAGAACTTGGTTCCAGGTCTCAGCTAAAAATAAAGGATTCTTTCCACTACAGTGTGACTCATTTTCTCCCTTTCTTCCTGCTCCCTGTTCAGTCCTTTCGAGGCATAAACTTGCTAGATATAATGTCAAGAGCTGTATCTGTAACCCCATCTGTCTACCTCAGGTGAAGAAAACAAGCCCTGGACATTCAGGCAGAAACTAACTTTACCATCAAAGACACTGGGCCTTAGGGCTAATGAAAGAACATTGACCCTTTGAGCCTCACCACATCCGACCAATGCCATTTTCCTTATTGTTGTATAGTCTTAAGTTCTAAAGAGCCTTAAAAACTAAAAAATTAGTTTAGACTCTACCTAATTCTCATAGAAAAAGCAAAGCAAAACAAAACAAAAAACCCAGTAACAGGTTTTACCTGAAAAATACTCACTTGTGAACATTAAGTTAAAAAAGTGACTGGCTGCAGCAAGGACAACACGGTGAGCAGGAATCTTTCTTTCCTGGACCATGAGGATCACGTCACACAATGTTCTCTAGTGAAAAGGAGAAAAGCATTTAAAAAAGAGCTCACTGGCTCAGCAATGTTAAGCAGGAACCACCCGAATGCTGTAATGCCTCTATTTTCTACTTAAATCCTCTTTCCACACACACTTTTAGAACACATTTAGCAATGACTTACAAAGTTGCTGTCAGATAATATCAAAATTTGGTGCTATACTCCCAGCAGTCAAGAGGAAAATTAATTAGCCTAACAATCATTAAAAGCAAGTCTCCTGAGCTTCGTGTGATGGCCCACAGCTGTTAAGAGGCTGAAGCTAACAAATTTGAAGCCAGTCTGGGCTGCATAGGGAGATCCTATGTAGCTTTCACCCTCAAAAGAAAATGTCTACCAAGCCTTCAGGGAAGTCAAAACATTTTTCCTAGTATGAACTCGAAGGCTTTTATTGTGAGCTTCTTGTAGGGGAGGGGATTAAATGATGTGATAGCATATGTAAACCATAGTTTTTAACACTGTAGTCTGTATTTGATTTTCCTAAACCATCAGTGCTTATAAAATCCAGAGTACATAGCACATTGCCCATAAAGCAGCAGTCACAGTTCTGATGGGAAACAGGATTCGGAACGCAGAGTGGATGAACTAACTAACTAACTGTCCTGCAGACAGTCATCTTTCCTTACACAGCTCTCCTCACAAGCCCCCTGCTGACAGAGAGCTGGAGGGCGCCCATGTCTGTGCTCTGGGCTGCTAAAAGGAGGTAGGCCAACAATAACTTAGATTGCTGGAGAGAAGAAGAAAGGCACACTGGAAAATGTCAAGGGTTGTCATCTTACAGACGGATGACGCTTAAAGTATGGGGGGTCATCAAATAATGTATTTACAATGAAGTTCTCATTGTAATGAAGAGCTCACAGAAAATTTGTTGCCTACCATGTCAACCTAACCACTGGGAGTATAAGGCAAGCAGGGCATTCTGAGTGGTTTTTTGTTTGTTTTTTAAGTTTGAAATTTTATGTGTATGGGTGTTTACTTGTCTGTGTACCACATGGCACCTGAGCAGTTCAGATGAGGATGTCAATTCCCTGGGATTGGGATGCTTTAGAGATATGAACCATCTTTCCAGCCCAATATTGAGTGGTTTTTAAATCTTGTTACAAATCTTTAATAGTTTAGTAGCTTAGCAGATACAGTTTTTGCTAAATGACAAATATTTTACTAATATAGTTTTGAGAACTTGACATTTCCTACTATGTATTTAGTGTGTGTGTGCACACATGCAGTTGTGTGAATCAATGTCTGTGTACAGAGGCCAGAGAAGGATAACAGTTGTCTTCCTCCTTCACTTTCTACCCAATTTTTCTGAGACAGTTTCTCGATAGCCTAAAGCTTGCTGTTTTCATTGGGCGGGTGGGCGGGCTGGCTGACTAGCGAGCAAGCTCTCAGGACCTGCCTCTCTCCACCCTCTGCTGGGGTTACAGATACATTTGACCATGCCTGGCTTTTCTGTGGGTCCTAGAAATTTGAAATCAGGTCCTCTTGCTTTCACAGCAGATGCTTTTACCCATTAAACCATCCCCCCAATACTACTTTATTCTGTGAATAAAAACTCAAGGAAGATAATAATGCTGAGGAAAAAAGAAATGATCCCCCCCCAAAAGTAGCCTGAAAAAAAAAATTCTATTTTACAGATTATTTCAAGATTCGTTAGTAAGTTTTGTGGACCAGTGCTTACAATCATATGCAGATTGGTAGCCCCTAAAGCTATTGATGGTTCATATCCGATCATACGTGGGAAAGGTCATACGTGGGAAAGGTGTAGGACAGGCACAGTCCTCAGGCGATTTGCCATATACCATACCAAAAATACAAAGTAGCAAACCAAACCAGTGAGTAACATTTAGTTACATCACCAAAATGAGGTCATTACACTGACTGGAAGCAATGAGTGGACAGGAAGGAAGACAGGAAGTAAAGAGGAAAACACAACATGAAGCAAATCCATGCATCAGATAACAGAGCTCCCTCTCACAAAGGATGGATCTCTGTTAGCTGATGGCATTTTCCAAACAACCGGGGTAACCCAAAATATAGAAAAACATTTCCACAAAAAAGGAATTCTGGACACCACTGTCAGACATGTAGGGGTAAAGCGGGAGAAGCCATTAGTTTCCAGTGGCACATTTATTTAACCGTACCATAAAGAACTGGATGTATGAAAAGGAGATGGGTAATGTGAATTCCTATCTGATACTAGCAATTAATGAAGAAGTATATCCACAGACAGAGACCAGAGACTCAAGTCTGGAGAACATGATAGCCCTTAGTGAGCTGAAGAGAGAAATGTAAAACAAAAACAAACTAAAAAACTCAACAAAGCAACAGCAAACCCCACTAACATTTGACAATACATACTGACTGGTTAAATTTAAGAAAAAAAAAAAACTATCTCATAATTTCTTCTGTTCACTGCCTCCCATATTAGCTATATTTCTGCATTTATTCTTCTCAGCTTTTGGATCGTTTAGTCTTTCACAAGCAGCACGGATTGTTGTGTGGCTGCTATGGTTTGAGTCCTCCCCTCAAAGCTCACATTGCATTTTAATTGCTATTCTGATTGGTAGTATTGAGAGGGTACCTTTGACAACAGGGAAAACAGCCATGGTGGTTCCACAGGGGGCATGGTCTGTGGAGCTGTTGTGCAGTAAACAGCTGCCCGGGAAGGATATTATCTGCAGGATCACAATTCAGACTCATTCCCTGCAGAACACAAACTATTAGGAAAACACTGAAAATGTTCCTAAGATGGCTAGGCAGACCACTTGGGTACAGTTTATAGCCACTCTTTTAGAGCAAGCATGTCAAGCAAAGTATCAGTGCTTACGAAAGATGTGCAGCCTGATGAAGACAAACTCAAAGGGATTAGGACTCTGGGTACAGATCTACCAACACAGACAATATCTGCTAAAAATGGAGATAAAACCCATGTTCCCAAAAGGGCGATGATGCTCACTGCTAGTTTACAGGCAACACTACAGGGTGGGGCTAGGTTTGATATTAATATTCAAACAAGTTCAATGAAGAAAAATGCCAAGCCTTTAAGTTTCTAAGGCAGAATAAAAGAGGCTCTCAGAGGAAGGCATGAAGCGCTTCTGACCATGGGGAGAGGAGAAAAGCTCAGCTGGAGACTAAAGCAGGATGGAATCAGGAGGAGAAAGCCAGGGCAGCCGGATGCCAAAATCCCACCAAATGCAAACCTTGTTGTCTGAAATTAAACTAGATACTGAGATGTAATGACATCAACAACAATAAAAACTTGGCCGTGAAACTATATTTTAACACTTCATCTGACCTATGATATGACTATGCTTGTCAAAATAAATTGTTGCCTTAGTTACTTAGTTACTGTTCTAAGTTATTGGTCTATACTATAACCAAAGCATTTACTGGGAGCTTGCTTACAGTTTCAGAGGATTAGTCTTTTAGTTCTTTAGGTTACACCCATTCCAACAAAGCCATACTTCTTAATCCTTTCCAAATAGTTCCACTAACTGGGCACCCAAATATTCAAACATAGGAGCCTATGGGGACCATTCTCTTGCAAACGTTACGGTTCTGGTGGAAGCTCCACCTCAATCCCACTCCCCCATTTCTCTCTCCCTAAACACCGCCCATTCCAGAAAGCCCACCGTCGGCAGCCTAGTTACCGTGGTACAGCAGTATTCATGCCAACACTGACTGGACCATGCAGGTTCTATGAGGACGGGAAGGTGCTGTGGGGGGAGGGGCATGAGAGAATCTGAAGGAGTTGGAGGGGGAGAGTGAAGAGTGGATTTCATCAAAAATAAAATGTGCTCGTGTAAAAAAATCTTAAAAAAAAAACAACCCCACAACACAGTAATCTATACTCAAACAGCATACTGAAGAATCATAGTCATTTTAGCCAGCAAGCCTATCTAATTCTCACAGAGGCTTTGTGCTTCTCTCACAGAACTCAATAATAGGTTTAACATAAGGTTTTAAATGGTCATTATACTTGAATTCATTTCATAGGAGAAAAATGAAAGCTATACTGATATTCTCAAGACACGCCCCTCAAAATATTAAGAAACACATGGATGTTATTAACATAAAAAGGTACAGCAACTGCGTATGAATAACAGTGATTGTGATCCAGACTTGTAGTGCTTCTCATTCTATCAGTTAATAAAATCAATCCAAACAAAAGGTTGAGAAATAAATGAAGTGGCAATCTAATTAAATAAGATGCCACTATTCACTTATTAGAAGAGCTAAAATAACAAACACCAACAATACCAAGCAGCCAGAAGTATAAATTTGGTGCAATCATGTTGGGAAACTTGAGAGCCATGTGTTAAAACTGAACGTGTGATGCTCTCTATAACAACTCAGTAACTCTCCTCCCTGACATTTACCAATACAAACACAAACATACACACACCATAAGACTTATAAAAATGTTCAAAGCTGTTTTTTAAAATAGTTTTTACTTATTCTTGAGAACGTTATGCAATGTGTTTTTGATGTTATTCTTCCCCTAACTCCTCCCAGGCCCTTCCTCCTCTCTAACTTTATGTTCTTTCTCTAAATGTCCTAGAAAAAGGTTTCTTTTGCTTTTCTTTCTTATTTGCAGGCCTAGGGTTCACTATGTAGACCAGGGTGGCCCAAAATTCATATAGATCTACTTGCCTCCGTCTCTGCCTCCTGAGTGCTAGGATTAAAGATGTAGGCTGCCATGTTCCACTAGTAGCATTATTCTTAAAAACACAAAAATAGAAATAACTCAAGTGTGCATAAAACCACATCAGATAGATCATGATATATTTTATAATGAAGAAATACTACATTCCATAATGAATTAGCTAGTACTACATACTAAAATACAGATAAACCCACTAATGTTGGTTTTAAGAACCTGAAGTACAATGCTGAGGCACAGCTCACTGAGGCACAGCTCACTGAGGTTATAGTACTTGCCAGCATGTACGAGGCCCTGAGTTTAATCCCTGGCAATGT